TTTCTAATTTGTCTTGTTACTTGCAGCACCTCTTCAGGGTTGTTTTCTGATCGTTCCGGGTTCTTTCTGAACTTGTATGTACCTCATCCGGGTTGTTTTCCGATCAATCCGGGTTCTTTCTGAATTTGTCTTGTTACTTGCAGCACCTCTTCGGGGTTGTTTTCTGATCATTCCGGGTTCTTTCTAAGCGCTTGTCTTGGTTCTTGCTGCACCTTGTCGGGGTTCTTTTTTGTTCAAACCAGCTTGTTTCTGGACTAGCTCTCAGCTCCCCTGCATGTTAAACATAAAAATATGTTGTAAATGATATTCCGGATATGAAGTCGGGAGCATGTCCCATATTTGAATAATCAATCAGGGGCGGGCCTCGGCATTATGAAATGCATATAAACTTTTTGCGTCTTGCTCTTGCTAGGCCATGCAAATTCCTCAGGTAGTGTCCTGTTACGTTTAAGCACTTGAATCTCTGGCGTATGGTTCAGAGGTTCATGACGTGACCATGTGAGCCTGGCACTCGGTTCGTGACCGTCCATGTGAGTAGACAAGCTTCACGGATTAAGGCGTGTTCTACCTGAGGAATTCGGCGACCGTTAAGAGAAGACCTAGAGCACTATGTTTGCTCGCATGATGATTTTTTGTATCTTGAGCACTATGTTTGCTCGCATGATGATTTTTTGTGTCTTCCCTTGCTAGGTTGGTTAATTTCCTAGGTAGTAGCTTGTTACGTTTAAGCACTTGAATCTCGCGTATGGTTCAGAGGTCTATTGATGTGACCACCCGTATGGTTCAGAGGTTCTTTGACGTGACCATCCGTATGGTTCAGAGGTTCATTAACGTGACCATCCATTCGAGAAAACAAGCTTCACGAATTAAGGCTTACCATCCGAGGAAATTAACAACCGTTAAGGGAAGATGATATGGCCACAGAGGCATACGAATAATATCCGAAATATATAAAAAATGAGACGTGACTTAGCTTGGTTCGTGGCCGAGTTGTGATCGGCGCGTCGTAGTAGCCGATGTTGGTGAAGTAAATCAGCCAGCTGATTGGCTCATCGAGCATCCGAAACGTATCGCCGAGTACCCGGAAAGCTGTCGTCAAGTACCCAGAAGCCATCGTCGAGTACCCAGAGTTGATGTAGTCGCCGATGTAGTCGGACAATCTTAAAGTAGCCGGACAGCCTGAACAGCAGACGGACAGCTTGGACGGCTTGATGCAATCGAACGGGTACGCGGAGCCGTAGTGGAACAGGGGTAGTCGGCGCAGCAGAGTAGTCGGAGTAGCGGAGTAGTCGGTCACCGCAGCCAACTAGTCGGTTATTAGAGTCAGGCACCATCCAATAGTTGAACTCGGCGGTGTGAGACAGTTGCTTGTACGATCCGGTGCATATGTGCATGCAAATAGCTTCGATTGCTAGTTTGTTTGCGTCATCTGACATGCCTTAATGGTACGTGTATGCCTGATGCCCATATGCATGCACTCGAGCTTCATGAATACGTTGATTTTTGGAATTATCTTGCATGTCGTATCCGAGTAGAGTTCGTATCCAAGTGGATAGCGCCAGGACTTCTTGCCGTAGTTGATGCTGGCCGATCCAAATCTGGCTTTCTAAGAGATGCATTGGACTCGGATGGACTGCGGCGTGCTGTGCAGAGACTCTAGACCCGCGGAGGCGACGGTTGCACAGATACTGTTCGGTACTGCCGCTGAGGCCTGGAACTCGAGCAGGATAGGGTCGTCGTCATCCCGCATGACTTCTGGCGTCCTGTTGCTAGTCGAGAGACGTGACGAGACATCGCGTTCCCTAGGAGATTATCGTTGTTGTGATAATCCGAATTACCACGAACAACGCTGATGATGACCGTGAGAACGGCGAGTTGTCGACCAGGGCCGACGAGAGCTGCAGCGAGTTGTCGACGAGGGCCGACGAGTACCGTGACAAACGTTGATGTTGAGGTCCATCGAGCTCTCGAACGCAAAGCGCCGAGAACCCCTACCTGGCGCGCCAGCTGTCGATGTTTTACCACCGGCAACCCGTCACGGGGTACCCGGGACGGTGATTTGTTCGGAGGGGTATCGGCGTTTGCAGGAACTCGATGGTAAACGCAGGGAGACAACGATTTATACTAGTTCGGTACGCCGGAAAATCACGGCGCCCTACGTCCAGTGTGGGGTGGATAGTATATTGCGCCCTGCGCTATTTGTTGTGGTTGTGAGTTCTGTCGGTTATGTCTCTCGCCCATGTGTGTGTGTTAGCTGCTGATCTAGGGACCCCTGCCCTCCTTTATATAGTTCAGGAGAGGCGGGAGTCCTAGTCGGTTACAAAGTAGAGATCCTAGTAGGATTACGTGTAACTAGTCCTAATAGGATTACATGTAGGGAATCCTAGTTGGACTAGGTCTTCTTCTCTCTTCTCCGTGGGGAACCTTATGGGTCCCGCATCGACAGCTACTCCAGTTGCTCCTGTTGCAGTGTCTGATAGCACAAGTCCAGGTGCTACTTTTGATGGGCTAGACGTCTCAAGTGCACGCAATGAAGCTCAGTCTGCACCTTCCAATCAAGATTCTGTGCAAGGAACGAGTGGTGGGAGAAAGCGTAAGCAAAGTCACATTGGTGCTGCTATTGATGGTTTTGTGCGGTTTAAGAAGATGCAAACAAGTAAAACAATGGAAGCACTCAATGAAAAGAAGAAACAAGACGAAGCATTTTCAGTCGACAAGTGTCTCGATGAAGTTGATGCAATGGAACTTACTGATGTGGAGATGGTATATGCTATGAATATCTTCAAATCTGAGATTGACAGGGAGGTATTCATAAAAATGAAAAACAAAAATGTTCGTTTGATTTGGCTCAAACAGCAGATTAGGTAATGCTTGGCTGCCACTGGATTAGTTTACTTTGGTATGACTTAGCTGCTAATGCTTTTCCTTGTGCTTACTTGCAGTGCTATCTGTGGAGGCAATGTTGGTGGAGGCAATGTTTGAATTGAGAAGAAAAACGCAGCTGCAATCATTGTATGCAGGTATATTATTTGAACAACAGCTTGCACTTGCCAACAGCTATGACTGCCGATTGATCTTATTTTTTATTAGCCTAGGAATTTGCATGTCTGTGAGATAGTAATCATATACATGGATTTTTTTTCATGGTTCTACACATGGTATAATAAGTCTCCCTGTTTGTTGGTGTTAGCTGTTGGGTGAAGGACTGAACCTACTGTGAGTTTGTGAGACTTGTCCTGTTGCATTGCATTGTTCATTGCTAATGGATGGAGGAGCCAGTTTGTTGGTGTTAGCACACAGAGACCCACTGGCTATGGCTGGTGTCTACTTCTCTGAATTGTCTCTTGAAAGGGAGCAGTAGAATAATCTTCTGTTTTTGTTTTTTTTTTTAGCCCTCAAGCATTGGCAGATCCTGATGTAGCTATGTCTTTCTGTTTCATGCAAGTTTGTCACGTTACACTTGTTTTTTTCCAAATCCAGCATGCATGTTTCATGTTTTTTTTTTCTAAATCCAGCATGCATGTCTTCCTGTTTGAATGCTTTCTTGTCCTATACTAGTACGGTTGTGTATTTCATTTATCCTAGTCTGAACTGATAGATAGCCATAGGCATCATGAGAACAATCTCCTTTTTACCTATGTTATATGTATTTTGGCCATATACAATAGCATTTTCCAGAGCCAGACATGTCATGAGAGATCACCATTTTCATTATTGTGTTACTGCAGATGTCTCAGTGGAAGCAATGCATGATTTAAAATAAGTGAAGTCGTAACTTTTGATAGTACTTTGCTAGATGCCAGAAGACATTGAATGTAAGGATGGTCAATTTCGAGATGATTGAAGTATATGATTATGACTTCACCATTTTCTATTGGATTTAAGGATGTAGAACAATCTGTATGAATGCTACTAGTAGTTGATTAGATGTCAGATAATACTTTTGCGTTTACTAGATTTGGTTTAAGGTCTGAATTATGTCTGTATTTGTATGGTGAGACTTGTTCCTAAGATTTTTCATGATTTTGTGGCTCTGACATTGATATGTAGTGATTTTTTATATTATTCACCTCTTTTTGTTTTTTCTTTATTTTTTGCTATTTTTTCCTGATTTTTTAAGACATGGTTTCTCACGGACTCACAGTAGCATTCCTAGGCTAATATGTTGGGTGCTATCTGTGAGAAACCATGTCTACTGTGAAAAACCACCGATTTCTTCCGTTCCTGACAGAAGCAGGGGAAAAAGGTTTCCAAAGAGCAGCAGGGGAATGATCCCGCACGTGAAATCTTCCCTGGAGAGGAGAAGGGGATTATGATGTCCAAAAAAATTCCTCCCTTGCCGTTTTCTTCCCTGTGTTGCCAAAGCAGCCCTAAGGAGGAAACATGTCAACCCCTTTTTCCGTACTTGTTGGTGTACCAGTTTTTGTGATTTTTGTCCAAACTGATGGGAGTAGATTTAGCAACCTTTGGACATGCTCAGTGCACGCTCCTGCTCGTTATTAGGGCACCTGTAGTGTGAAAATCGATTTTGCTATGTGAAAACAGTAATGCACCAAACGTTTTAGCTCCACTATGTGAACATCGATTTACATGCATGGGTCCTCTCTTTTCATGTGTCAGCTCTTGACTGCTCTGTGAATTTGTGTTGCTGCTGTGCTACTGCTTGCTATTGAGAGTTAACCCTTCTTATCCAACTCAGGTTCGATTTTATATCTGACATGCACGGTTCGATGGCCACAATATATTCGGTTGGATTTTCCACCACCAGTGGCGGACCCAGGATTCAGCCAAGACTGGGGCTAAATCTTAGGGGTCAAATCTTGTACACTGTAATGAGAAATTAGAATAAGGGATGAAATTGAGAACTTGGAAATTGAAAATTTGGAATTAAATCAGTTTGAGATCCAAACCTAACAAGGGAAGCTTGTTCAGTTGCTCTGCTCGCCTGCAACTCTGCAAGGAAGGAGGCGGTCAACCCGCAACGGGCGGGCAACCGGCGCTCAGCTGAGGAAGGAGCCGCCGGCCATGACGCCGTGGAGCGCAGAGACCAGAGGGGGCGACGGCGAGGCCATGGACCCGGAGCGCGGAGGTGGAGCGGAGGGCCGGTCCACCAGTCGGCGCAGGAGGCGGAGGCGAAGTGGAGGGGTGGTGGTCGAGTCTCGCGACGACGCGAGGAGCGAGCACGCCGAGCGGCTCTCTGTCTCTGACTCACCTGGGCTGCTTGTGTTGCGCTGCGATGGGCCAAGAAACTGAAGACCTGCTCCCTTGTTACGTGGGGCCACGACTAGGGCCATGGCGTAGGCTGCCCTAGTGCTGGTTTCGCCCATGTCCACCACCATAGTTCGATATTCTCACCTATACTGGAGCTGCTCCTCGTCAGTGTACATTGGCTGATCCATGATTCCTGCGTGCCGGCCAGGGTTGCCACATGCTGCACTGCACACACGCACATGTATATGTGCTGTGGCCAATCACACAACTACCACCGTCCTCTTTCATATCGCCAAAGCCCACAAGGCCACAACTCTTGGGTCCGGCCGGTCACTGTGTCCCCTTTTCTGTACTTGCATACAAGTATTTTCTCTATTTACTTATCGTTTTTTTTAAGGCAGCATGCTCTTATCGGAAATTCTCCACCCTAGGAGGGCGGTATCTGGGCATCTAGCCATCTAGGTGTCAAGATTCCCAAGAGCATCGTCAAGATAACCCTATGAAACACCGTCTCATGCAATTCAGCGTTAATCATGGCTCTATCATCACTCGTTACATGAACATGCCTGGAATTATGCCGTCAAGTTTCATTTTTTCCACTCCACCCTGCAGTTAGGTTTGAAGAGGCAATAATAACAAACCTGAAGCAAAATGAAAAATGCCGCAGAATATTTGGTTAAAAATACTTTGCAATGAAAAGCCAAAAAAAGCCATTGAAAGTGATGACCATCTTATCTCACATTTAGTAGTCGTTAGTTCCATGACAATCTTCATAGGTTGCGCGAAAAAAATAAAAAAAATCCTAAAAATTCTTAAAAAAACAGAAAGATCAAATCAAAAAATTAGCCAGCCTCAGCCACGATGAAAAACAAAGTAACTCCTAAATCTAGATCTAAATTACCCACCTGCATATGCCTCCATAAACATAATCTGAATTAGCCTATCAAATTTACATCTAAATGACCTCCTTATGTGCACTACTATAAAAAACAATGAATGGGAATGTTTATTTTTTTAGAAAAAATTGTTTCCTCGTGTTGTTGTACGTGTGCCTCGACTGACCGACATGTACTGTTATATATGTTGGGAGATGATGTATAGCATATATATAGCAGTAATCAAACAAATAAGTACAGCAGTTAGTCTTGATTAAACCTGGATTTGAACGTCCAATGGTCTTAAACCATTTCATTAGTACATCTCTTCCCTGTCTTCAAGGGGAATTTCTCATCACTGGGCTTTACCATATCCAAAATTATGTATCATTATTATACAGATAGATCCCCACATCCCTCTGAGAATCCCATCAACCAAGGCCTTATTTAAATTGCAAATTTTTGCAACCTGGACACTATAGCACGTTTCGTTTGTATTTGACAAACTTTGTCCGATCATGGACTAACTAGGCTCAAAAGATCCGTCTCGTGATTTACAACCAAACTGTGTAATTAATTATTTTTTTACCTACATTTAATGCTCTATGCATGCGTTCAAAAATTAATGTAATGAAAAGATAGTGAAAAAACTTAGAATTTAGAGGCAATCTACTAGCTAGCAGCATCTCGTCGCCAAGAACGATAACTTTGTCTGTCAACTCATCCACAGAGATTCCCCTTTCTATCAAATCAAATCAAAGAAAGAAACATTAACCAATCACCAACCTCGTTAGAATCAGCCACAGTAATTTAATGACCCCCCGTATTTTTTTTCTCACCGTGCAACGTCACAGAAACCCTTACACAAGAACGGATAGCGACGGATCGTATCTGCAAAATTTTAATGCTTCCGATGGCATGGCAATGGCGTCCCTGCAGCAGCAGCTTGGCGCTCACTCAGAGAAGATCAGACGAAGAGCTCGAGAACGGCGGCTGCATCGCATGTGCGTCTCCGCATGGGGAGCCGGGTCGGCGGCACGTGGCCACGCCGAGACGAGACGAGACGCTTGCCGACTTGGCTGGCGTCCCCCGGCACTTTGGGTACGGTGGCTCCCGTCGTGCGCTGCGCGGGCAAAGCGCGACCGCCCCTTGTGCTCTCTGCTGCTCTGTTGCCTGCCGCTCCAAAAGCGCCGGCCGGCTGGCTGGCAGCCTCGTGTTGCCGTCGTGCAGGCCAGAGTTGCACGCCGTGTGCCGTGATGTTGTTTTCCTTGTTTTTTTTATGGGTGATGGTGAGGGCGATCGGCACACCAGGGTGCTTGGTTTGTTTTTTCGTGTGTTTTTGGCGTGGGGCAAATTGACGTATTTGGGATCTCATCTGCACCTTTTGGGATCTCATCTCAATGACGTATTTGGGCAGATTGAAAAATGTTTGTGCTCTGTTACGTTGGCAGATCGCGACAGGACGGACTTTATACTAGACCTGTAACTGTAATGGTTCAGGAAAGATGGAGTGACGTATATATATGTGTATATGCTCCTGCTTGTTTCTTTACACACCTTCGTTGTCTTTCGATCTGTCGGCGGCACTAGCTGGAGTAGTATAGAGTACTCTATTATTTCTGTGCCTTGTGCTCGGTACGTATTTGTGTTTCCTTTCGCTTTCAAGTTTCAACGCTATATATATGTTTCGGCACTTGTCAGCCTATATATATATATATATATGTTTATATATATACTTATCACCCAACCAATAAATAGTGTTTTCACTAAACCAAATAAAGATGATCTTTCAGCTGCATGACTTATAAGCTAATCCAAATTAAACGAGGCAACAAACTGTGTGTGTGGTGTGCACTTCTTCGGTGGTGTTGTATGTGTGGTGTGCACTTCTTCGGTGGTGTTCGCTGGTCTGAACCCATTCAGCCAGCCGGCTGGTTTCAGTCACGCGTTATTGTTCATCAAACCAGCCAAACAGTGTTTTTCTCTCACAACAAATCAGTCGGAACGGTATTTTTTAGCCAAGTTTCAGACCAGTGAACGGAGCCTTGGTATTATAAAGCCACTTTTGTCAGGATTTAATACTACTTTTCTCAGTCCACGCTCTGATAGGTTAGAGACCGAGCATAAGTTCACAAGCAGCTGCCAGTGTTTTTTTTTCATTTGAACCGATACCGGATCAATTATATTATGTGTAGAGCTTAGGAGCATATGCTTTTGCCTTTCTGGAACTCCAGAAGAAAAAAAACTCATTTTTGTTGGGCTTAGACAGAGACGGGGACGCTAACGAGTTGTCCGTTTGGGTTGGGCTGCATAGCTAATTTTGCTGGCCTTCAGAAGTCATAGGCGGATATCGCAGGCCCAGTCCAGTTTGATTTTTTTGGGCTTAGCCACTTCCAATCCCCCGAAGCTGGACATTATTCCTCTAGAAACGCAGGTCTCTCAAATAATTTCTGAACTGATCCGTCTCTACAAAGTACAAATCAACTTTTAGAGGTGATTGGACTTTCCAGCTACCTCTAAAAATATCCTATTTTTAGAGGTGCTCGGAATGACGAACCACATCTAAACATACCATTTTTAGAGACGGCTAAGTCTTTTAGCTGCCTCTAGAAATGAAGGCATTCCTAGAGCCGATTAAGAATTATAGCTGTCTTTAGAGATGGATTTCTAGAGGTGGCTGGCAACTTGGTCCGTCTTTAAAAATAGGTGCATCATAATAAAAGTCATAAATTTTCTAAATCAAGTTGGACGAAGACAAACTTTATATTAAAGTGTAGTACTCAAAGAGATCTATAATTTTAACAATATTTTAATGTACTATACTACCTTACGTGCATTCAACATTTCACATAAAAACGTAACTACTATATTCAAATGGTGATATTAAATTTGAAAAATGTAACTAGTATATTCGAATAGTGTATTTCCAATACTAGATTCAACGATTCTCAAAATTTGTTGAACATTTTTGATAAAAAACATGTAGCATTTTCTGTGAAAATGATGAAATTAATAGTATACCAAAAATGTTGAATAATTAGAATATTAGAAATGTTGAACTTTGTGTGTTCCAAATGCTGTTCTCGAAAAGGTAATTGTATTCAAGGTTTTTAATTTCGGTATCGCCAAAATTTCGGCCACCACCGAAATTACCGAATTTCGCGAAATTTGGCCGAAATTTCGCCGAAATTTTTTTAGAGATTAGCACATGAAGTATGTTTTTTCTAAAAAAATTTGGATCTAAACAAATATTAGTATGATTTATGACTACATATCTATTAAATAGAAGAATATGCAATATAAATAATAGAAAAATATAAGATTAGAGTTATATAGCACATGTATTAGTGTATTAAAAAAATTCGGAGTTTTCTTTCGGCCACCACCGAAATTACCGAATTTCGTGAAATTCGGCCGAGATTTCGCCGAAATTTGGAACCCTGATTGTATTTGTGTTGGTTCTCATCTTTTTTTATTAATTCTAAACAACATGGTGATTCAGATCCAACCAAAAATATGCTCTCAATCTTAGAGAAATATGCACTTCAGGTTTGAGATTTAAATATAGTTAGGACAGGTACATTAGTATGTCTTTAAAGGATCGAGTAGAATAGGAGCCAAATCAAATTTCTCACCAAGAATCTGACCTATATCCCGATTCATCCCAAAGCGCTGACAAGCTCCAAAACTTCAAGATGAAGCTACACAGGCTAACTGGTGACCAGATAACATCCAAACAACTTAGAGAACACAATGGAAAAAGATCGGAAATGGAAACAGCGAAGAATGCACCGGAAGCGGAAACAATGAAGAACGCAACAAGAGAGACGAAAACACGACACGTGGCGAAAACCTCCCAGCAAAACTGGCCTAGCCGGTTAGTTCTACTGTTGTGCTGGTGGCTGCCAAACCGGCTGACTGCCTAGGGAGCCGGATGTTAACGTTTGAGAGTGCAAATATAATATTGAGGATTCCGCAAATGCACAGAATATCAGTATAGCATTTCACCGGGAGTATTCTAGGTATCGTTATTTATATTTTACCACAGAGAAACAATGAAATAAAGATTTGTTAAAAGTAATAAAGGAATATCTATCAGTTAACATACCAACATGGTTAGAACAGGGTGAATATAATGATAGGAAGTATATAAAATGACTCATAAGGGATACATATATAAGATAACGTAAACTAGTTAACTCAGGAGA